GGACTGGCATCAAGAAGACAAAGACATACCAAAGGTATGCACACAAAGAAGAAAGGTCACGAGAAAACACCCACCAGCAATTCAACCAAAAGGAGCTAAACAGAAAGCAATCCTCTGGCAACCCTGACAGCACCTCAACCTTCTCTTTTAAGCCACCCCGTTTGTAGTATGTTTCTTAATTGCAGCCCTAGCAAACTAATAATAATACAGATAATAAACACTGGAACTATTGGAGTTAAATCAAACCCAACTACATTTCACCTTAAACCTACAGTTCATGCTGAAAGAATAGTTTGACTCTGCATAGTAACAACTCACTGTTTGGTTCAGGAACTATTCAAACTATCTGTGATTCAAATAGAAAAGAATCTCCTTTCCTAAGATCCCTAAGGAAAGCAGCAAAGTAAAAACCAAAATAATTGCAAATGAAAAGGTCTTTTCAATAGTGTTGTAGGTTTATAGATTTAATACACGAGTCATAATTATTTCTTTAATAACTGAATTACAGAAGAAAATACTTAATAGAAAATTAACAATGATTAAGATAGAGAATGAAGAAGAGAATATACAGTGGGTTTGATTTTAGCTTTTTTATATAAAAATATTAAGTATGCCACATATAGTAGAATAAACATTTATTATAAGTAGTTGAATTACCTTGTTTCATTTATTAAAGGAATTTTTCTTAGAAATTAATTTTGCTGTAATTGTACATTATAAGTTTTCAGAAAGCCCCATCAAGGTAAGGATTCTTCTCACAGATCATATCCTAGACACAGAGAATGCAAAGCCAGCTATAATTAAATATATTTTGGATCTAGGAATTAGAGAACAAAAACTATTATTGAAAGACTAAGACCAACAATTCTTTTTCCAGAGAGAATAATATACCAATAAAGCAAATTTTTTATTGTCTGATTCAACTAAATTGTTAAGTTGATGAAAATTGTAGGTCAAATAATTCTTTTGAATCAAATTTTTTTAATATAAACTTTCCTTCAATATCGAGAGGATAGAATTAGCCTGCAAGTATATTTAGCTTGTAATTTTGTCTTCTAGGATTAAAAATCTCTGTCACATGAGACTGACTTAATAGTTTTGATATGTAAGATACTCATAACTTTATTGGATAAACTGGTTAAATTCACACTGATCCAGGAAACAGATTCAGCTTCTATCAATAGGTCAAGCAGTTGGGCTGGCAGACTTGAAACCAGAGGGAGCAGATGGTACAGTTCTAGTCTAAAGACAATCCATTGGAGAAATTTTGCTTACTCAGGGAAAGGTTGGTCTTTTTATTCTATTTGTGTCTCCCTTCAACTGGTTGGGTGAGGCTAACTCACATTAGGGGGACAACCTTCTTTACTATACCAATTCAGATGTTCATCTCATCCAGAAGCATCCTCACGGAAACATTCATAACAACATGTGACCAAATATCCTTGTACATTGTGATCCAAATTTTAAGCAATGTTGCTTAAAATTGATAAAGAGTGCTCCCTTTGACATCACGTGTATAAAAACTGAAACAATATAAAGAAGATTAACATGGTCCCTGAGCCATACTAATGGCATCCAAATTTGTGAAACATTCCATATTTTTGCCAGCAGGTGGCATGGAGGTTAAGGCTCTGGATCCCATATGGCCTATAGCGTAGTTCATGTCCTGGACTGGGTGGCTTGGGAATCACATCAAGTGCATGGGCACAAAGCAAAAGGATTGTGGCATGACCATCCCTCCAAAGAGATGATGTATCATGCAAACATAACTGATTAAAAAAAAAAAAAAACTCACCATCATGACTACAGGGTTGGTCTTATCATTATTAGCAGATGTTAGATGAATTTTTATGGAATATGTAAAGTAGAAATGCTAATTAAATGGCTAAATTCATTTATTTCTGCTATGTTTGAGGAAATAAGATGCATAAGAATTTGATATTGGTGCTGACTGACTGAGAAAATGACTGTAGCCTGCCATAAAGAAGTAAACCACACAGAAGCCAATGTATAGGGCCGTCTTTGGTTTATTTATATATCACCTTGAAATGATCCTTTATCATATTTCCACTTTTACAGACAATTTGCATCCTGACAATAGTGCACCATTTATCACAAATAATATTCAACTTAGTATTGATTGTCTAAGTATTAGATGGATCTTTCATGCCTACTGTGATATACGAAGCATTTGCTATTGTTGAATGTTGGGACAGCTTGCTTTAAAAATTACCTCAGAAGGGGCCAGTAGGTAGTGTGGTAGTTAAGGTGCTGGATTCTTGAATGTTGATCATGGTTTGAGCCCAGTATCCAGTGGCTTAAAAATCACACTGGCTGAGGACCAGCAGGTTTCATGGTAGTTAAGGCACTGGACACTCCCACGTGGCCAACCACGGTTTAAGTCCCAGACCTGGTGGCCTGCTTTCTCACTTTCTCTCTCTCCCCCTCTCTCTGGTCAAATTAAAATATGTGAATAAATAAATAAAATAAAATAAATAATTCTTTTTAAAAAATCATACTGGATGAATGTGTGTGTGTGCACCAAAATCTTAAGAGCAGAATGGAGGAGAAAAGATTGCCATATGGCCATCCCTCTTTGGAAGTAATTTATCACTTTCCCTATTTTTATTACTCTCTGTCTCTCTCCAGTGAGTGCATGCAACTTAAGACAAAAATATTTTTTTCCTCAAAAAGACTACTCAGTCTTCCTAACCAAGGTGAGGCAATGATCAGTACATGCAGCTGTTTTCAGAGAGTTGATCTCTTCCTAGCCACCTCCTAGGTTTTGATCAGGATAAAAGAAGTGAATGAGATATATGAACCTACTTAGAAATTATAGATCTTCCTAGGTAATTCCCGCAATGATGGTTTTGTTTGTTTCACTTTTTTCCTTACCCTTATTAGCAATCTTAGTCCTGTCTTTCGGTATGCTTTCCTAAAAGTGGTATAGAGAAATCAAACTTCATTCTGGTTTGGCCACCTGGCTTCTCTGCACTGACATTGTCAAAAGGACAATGATTACTTAGCTAAATACTCTACTCATTGACTTCCCCTACACTAGCTCATACAAGCTAAACTTAGGAAAATAATGTGTTTCTGTAAGTTTTATAAAAGTTTCTTGGTCCCTCTTTCACCTGAACCTTCAAATCTAAAGGTATAAGTAAAGAATGATTCCAAAAAAGTATGAAGATATAGTTACTGCAGTGGGATGCAGCTTTCTGTGGTAGTGAAGGGTTAACAGTGACTCTGGTACCCATGTAGAAGGGATGGGCATTAATCATATTTGTTTTTTATAATTACTCCTTGAAGTGATTCTGACGAAATGCCTTCTAGTATGTTTGCCCAAAACTATTGTGAGCACGTTAAATTTAATTAACTGTTGAGGCTGCCACTTGCTATCAACAGAGTTAGCCAGAATTTGATTGCCATTCACTGTCAGAGAGTAGTTCTGATTTCCACACTGCCCATGTGAAGTACCTGATATCCTCTAAATTCTTTACTCTTCTAGCAGTTGCTCAGTCAGTCCGTGGCATAGATCAACTCAAGCGACTGACATGACTATCTGGAAGTCCCTCCAATTGTAAGGCCTTTACACTCTTTTTTAATGGACAGTTTGACATTTCTATTTAAACAATAGTGATATTGACATTTTCAGAATAAAATATATTCCATGGTAAGGGGCATTGCTTAAACTTTTGGGGAGAAAGGGATATTTCTTAGAACATTCAGCAGAAGTGCGAGTTTTTAAATTTTTTCACAAGTTTGTTTTTTAAACTGGCATATAAAAATCATATGTATTTATGGGATATGGTCTTATTTTTCAGTACATGAATATGATGCATAATTATCCAATCAGGGTAATTAACAAAATCTTTATCTGAAACACTTATCACCACTTTGCGCTAAGAACATTCAAATTTATCTTAGCTATTTTGAAATATATAATGAATTATTTTTAATTATAGTTACCTTATAGAGCACTAGAATTTGGTCCTCTTATCTAACTATAATTTTGTGTCTATTTATAAACATCTTGCCCTTACTCTCCTTTACATTTCCCATCCACTAGTAATCAGTTGTCTACTCTACTACTTTTTTGGGGGAGGGAGGGGGGATTTTCTCTATAGGGCGCGTGCGCTCGCCAGACAGAGACAGACAGAGAGACAGAAAGCGAGAAATCACCCCCCAGGGGGGATGGTCATGCCGCAATCCCTTCTCCTCCATTCTCCTCTCGGGATCTTGGGCTCACATGCACACGCACCCAGCGTGAGTTTTTAAGCCACTGGGTCCGGGACGTGAACCACGGTCGACTATGTGGGAGTCCAGCGACATAGCTATTACGCTAACTGCTGGTTCCCTACTCTACTACTTTTGAAAAAGTACTTTTTCTTTGTGGGGTACAACATGGATTTTCAAAGCATGCATGCAACATGTGATAATCAAATCAAGGATACTATCATATTTACCATTTTCAACAAAGAGAAATACATTATCATGTGTATTTTCAATTTTTGCTCTACATTTTTGACATAATATATGTATAGTTGTCAAAGTCCCTCTTTACACTGGTTTATTCCAAAACCCATTTGCCTCATCTATATGCATTCCAGTGTCTATTAAATTCTCTTTCAAAACATTTTATTCATAATTATTTTGTTTAATTTGGTACAGGGCACATTTGCTCACGAGAGAGAGAGAGAGATTGAGAGAGAAAGTCAGAAAGCGAGCTGCCAGTTCCAGGAGTTCATCACCTTAATCACCATGCACTGTTGGCCCCTGTTAAATGCTTTTTCCCTGATTCCCTCCTACCTAACCCCCTCCACCAGCCTACTATCAAACAGTCTTTGATATCTACAGTTATCCACTTGACCTCTCTGAGGCCACTGTTTTTAGTTTCCCCATATGAGTGAAAATAGGTCATTTTTATTTCTGTGCTTGGGTTATTTTCATGACTTCATTCTTTATAATGACTGAATAGTTTTCCATTTTGTGTATACTAAATTTTTTTTTATTGATAGACACAAGTTGATTTCACATCTGGGTTATTGTTAACATTGCTGCAATAACAATTAGAGTGTGTGTGTGTGTGTGTGTGTGTGTGTTTCCTTTGGGTATATACTTAGTAGTGGGATTGCTTAACTTAATGGCAGTTCTATTCATAGTTTTTTGAGGAAACTCCATCTCCATCCTCTTTTCCATATGGTTATAGTAGTTTACATTCTTACCAACAGCTAGTTAGACATAATTATTTGAACTAAACTAGGAATTCTAACACTTACCAATGATCCAAGAAATCATATTGGAGGACCTGTCAAACTGTCACTAGACCAATGTACTCTTACATGTGACATATTCTAAGTGACAAATTCAATAAATTTGGTTCACCTCTGTCAGTCAGGATAATTAGAATAGCTGACAGAGTGGTGTACTCCTAGAAAATTTCACCAGAAGCAAAAACTGTAGAAACAAGTATGAGCAATTGTTGGAATAATTTGTTTTGGGACCTCTTACTTTTCTGCATGTCTTAGGAACAAACTTGATTGCTCTTTTTTCCATGCTTGTTTTACAGATATTTGTGTAGCATGCAACCTGGAAAAATAAAACTGGTGCTTATTTCAATGTAAAGAGCAGTTTGGCTCACAATCCTGGAAGTCAGAGATAGTATCTCTCTCTGACAAACACGTGGGACAGGTATGGCACCCATTATGAAAGGTTTATGTTTGTTAAGATGAGGATTCTTTTACTTTAATGCAACCCACTGCATGTGCAGCAATCACCTGACCTACATTGTGTAACAATGAGGAAATGGAGATTTAGGAGATCACTGTAAGAAGAGCTGATACTCTGGCTTCTGCTATTAATATAATAAACTCCTTTGTCTCTGACCAAGAACTCTTTAGACTGTTTTTTTTTTTTTAAAATTGCTTATTAGAGTCTCAGTATATCATCATCCTTCTGCCTCAGCATCTGGAGTAGCTGAAACTATAGATGCATGACACCATTCTTGCTTTTTAGGGTGCTATGGGAATTGAACCTGTGCCTCCCATGTGGTCTGAATAGTAGCATCAATCATCATTTGATACCACAGCTGAGTCGAAAGGCTGACTTTCGAGCTTCCAAGTAGGACAAACTTTCAAATCTTTTGGTGTTCTTTAAACCTCTCTCTTTTCTCAGGGAAGGTTTTAACTTTTCCTTTACCTTTGAAGATTTCCTTTAATTCAAACATCGCTATACATCTATGCAAATATTTTCTTTGTAGTTGTTTTATTTAAACTAATAGTTCAGAAAAATCTTAACAAATATATAACATGCTTAAACTGTTGTTAAGAAAAATACATACTTCTTTTGCCTAATTCCTTTCTCCATAATTATGTAAGATCAAATTTATAAATAAACTTAAATGAAATTTTTGATACTAATATTATATAACTGCTTTTCATTAATTAAATGAAAACAATAGCATTTGTTTTATCTTACCTTCAATTATTTAATGTCTCCTGGCTGCAATTATTTAATGTAAGTTATTTTCAATAATTTAAATGAGATACTTTACTTAGTAGCAAGAATAAACAAATCCATTTAACTTCTGAAGAATTTTGATAC